GGTTGCAGTAAGCCGAAATCGCACCACTGCACTCCAGCCTGGGTGACAGAGACTCTGTCCCAAAAAAAAAAAAAGAATTGCATTAGCGATTCTCCCTCCACGGCTGGCTACTGTGCAAAAGCCGGAGTGCAGCCTCTACCTTGCCACAGCACTGGCTGGATGGCAGCAGGCCTGAATGTGGGATCACAAACACAGCCCATTCAGTCCGGCTCCCAAGTCCTCTCCCCGCCCCAGCACCGGCGGTGTGCGTGTCTGCCTCCACACCAGGGATGTGTGTAACTGCACGCACGTGGGGGTCCGCCACGCCAGGCAGGCTGGCTATGAGCTCTGCCCTGTGTTCTCGCCCCTGCTTCTTCCCCAGACAAGTCTGATACAAGGACAGAAACAGAAGAGGGCTTTTTACGGCATACTTGACAGTCACTTTCTAGAACTTAAGTCTGAATCTTGAGAAACCACAGGGAAAGATAGCTTTCTTCTCTCTTGACCAGCCCCCTGCAAGATCTAGCTCCCCTCAGGGCTCAGAGACTAGCCAGAGACAGGCAGAACGCAGAGGCCTCCCTGCACACCAAATACACACTCACTGGGTGGTTCTGACTCCCTGGCAAGGTGCCAGAAGAGAACACGTGCCCCTTAGGGTCCTGCACCGGGCTTGGCCCAGCGCAGCACTGGAGATGCTGCAGAGAACGAAGCCAGGCCTGTGGTCCACAAAGCAAGGCCCAAACAGAAAAGGGGGAAAGCTATACCCTGGAAACCCCAGGATTCGGGAAGCTGAATGTCACTCAAGGATAGGACCAGAGGCAGGAAGAAAACAGGAGGAGGCGGGGCTCAGGTAGGTGGATCACCCGAGGCCAAGAGTTTGAGACCAGCCTGGGCAACATGACGAGATCTCCTCTCTACAAAAAAATTAAAAATTAGCATAGTGGTGCATGCCTGTGGTCGCGGCTACCAGGGAGGCTGAGGCAGGAAGATCACTTAAGCCCAGGAGGTTAAGGCCGCAGTGAGCCATGACATACCACTGCACTCCGGCCTGGGTGACTGAGCAGGATTCTGGGAGGACACAAAAAAGGTAAAAAAGCAGAAGGGAATGACAGCAAACATTTGGCCCAGTGCCTGGCACACAGCAAGTGCTCAATGAATACTTTGATCTAGGGTCCAGCATCCCTGGGCTGAATCTTGAGACACCGCAGGGAAAGCCAGCTTTCTTCTCAAGGTGCTACTACAGCTAACAGGAAACACGGCTGGTCACAAATCCCCAGGTCCTCTCGAGCACCAGGCATTTTTTTGTTTTGTCTTGTTTTTGTTCTTGAGATGGCGTCTCAGCTCTGACGCCCAGGCTGGAGTACAGTGGCAAGCTCAGCTCAATTGTAGCCCTGACCTCCCAGGTTCAAGCAATTCTCCTGCCTTAGCCTCCTGAGTAGCTGAGATTACAGGTGCCCGCCACCACACCTGGCTAATTTTTGTATCTGTAGTGGAGACAGAGTTTCACCATGTTGGCCAGGCTGGTCTCCAACTCCTGACCTTAAGTGATCCACCTGCCTCGGCCTCCCAAAGTGCTGGAATTATAGGCATGAGCCACTACGCCTCCAGGGCAGGAATTTTTAACCATGGGGAAACCAAGGCTCAGCCGGGTCCACAGGACACTCCTTGCAAGCGGGGCCTACAGCTGGGTCCTCCCAGAATCCCCACGCCTAACTTGTTTGCCCAGCAGAGGGAATGCTGCTGCAGGCGAGGTACTACTACAGCGAAAGTGAAACAAGCTGGGTCACAAACCCCCAGGTATTCTCTCTCCACAGGCTCCTCCCCAGGAAACATCCCAGCTGGACCAAAGGTCGAGGAGGTAGAGACGAGGTAGAGCCCAGGGCTATAAAGGCTGGAGGAAACAGGGAGGGACTAACCTGCTGCTTTTGGCTGGAGGCCAGGAGGCAGACGGAGGAACCTCTCTGCCTCTGCAAATTGGAAGCAGCATCCAGAGAAGAAGCCTTCATCTTCTGCCTCTCCGCACACCCCCAGCCCCTGCAGGAGCCCTTCACCCCGCCTTGCAGCAGCCTCCCGAGAAAAGAGTAAAAAAAGTAAGCTGGAACTTTGGACGAGGCTGATAAAACGCAGAGAAAACAAGGACAAGCCTCTGATTTTTCTCCAACTCCCAACGCTCACTGAATTCTAGGCTACTGGAGTCACTGGGTTCCAAGGCTCGGCCAGACTTCTGCCTGGTGGGGCGGAGGCTTAGAATCAGGCCTGGAGTGGTCCAGCAACCGAGGGGTTAACTGCCCTGGCTTCTCTGAACCCCACCCCACTCCTCAATGGAGGGAGGAAGTGGCAGAGAACCAGGGCTTGTGTGAGCCCTTAAGAATTCGAAGAATGTCCCATTTCCCTTGTGGGGGTGGGAGGGGCTGGTAGGGGGAAGAGGAGCACAAGTTAATAGAAGAGAAGGGGCAGCTGAAGGAGGGGCTGGGACAGAGCTGCAACCCTTCCTCTACCCCAGAGAGCCTGCCCAGTGCCCTCCTTCTTCCAGAAGGGACAACTTCATGTTGCTCCTTGAGCTTTGAGATTTTTATCAGGAATCTTTTTTTCCCAGCACCTGGCACAGGTTGGTATGTATTATAGCGGCAGGCAGGCAATAAATGATGAATGAGCATGCCCATTCAGATCAAAGAGTGGTCTTAGCCAGGGAACATGAGCGAATAAGGGAGCAGGTAAGGTGTGGGGTAAGGCTGGAGGTTTAAGCCCACAACCCTTTTTTTTTTGAGATGGAGTCTAGCTCCGTTGCCCAGGCTGGAGTACAGTGGCTCCATCTTGGCTCACTCCAACCTCCGCCTCCTGGGTTCAAGAAATTCTCCTGCCTCAGCCTCCTGAGTAGCTAGGATTACAGGCACCCACAACCAAGCCCAGCTAATTTTGTTTTTTTTTTTTTTTTTTTTTTTTTTTTTTTTTTTTGTGACGGAGTTTCCCTCTTGTTACCCAGGCTGGAGTGCAATGGCGCGATCTCGGCTCACCGCAACCTCCGCCTCCTGGGCTCAGGCAATTCTCCTGCCTCAGCCTCCTGAGTAGCTGGGATTACAGGCACGCGCCACCATGCCCAGCTAATTTTTTTTTGGTATTTTTAGTAGAGACGGGGTTTCACCATGTTGACCAGGATGGTCTCGATCTCTCGACCTTGTGATCCACCCGCCTCGGCCTCCCAAAGTGCTGGGATTACAGGCTTGAGCCACCGCGCCCGGCCTTCTTAATTTTGTATTTTTAGTAGAGATTAGGTTTCACCATATTGGCCAGATTGGTCTTGAACTCCTGACCTTGTGACCCACCTGCCTCGGCCTTCCAAAGTGCTGAGCCACCTCGCCGGGCCTAATTTTGTATTTTTAGTAGAGACCGGGTTTCTCCATGTTGGTCAGGTTGGTCTTGAACTCCCAACCTCATGTGATCTGCCATGTCGGCCTCCTAAAGTGCTGGGATTATGGGCGTGAGCCACCGTGCCTGGCCTGTGTTTTTTTTTTTTTTTTTGAGTATAGACATCTTGGGCTCTGTTTCTTCTGCACTGGGACCTGCAGCAGCCGACGGTGGGGAGTATAGAGGTAGAGTCCCCTATCTCAGACCCGTCCCATCCCATCCCATGCAGTCCCAGAGAGTACAGCAACTCTCCATCTTCAAGTTGACCTTGTGAGTAGCAAGTATAATCTCAGTATTAGGGCCTCACAGCTGCTGCCCTCAGTGAGGTGGCCACTTTGGAAGGTCAAGTCACTTAATGGCAAGTCAAGTAATGGCAATTTCTTTTTCTTTTATTTGCTTTTTTTTGAGATGGAGTCTGGCTCTTTCACCTTGGCTGGAGTGCAGTGGCGCGATCTTGGCTCACTGCAACCTACAACTTCCTGGTTCAAGGGATTCTCCTGCCTCAGCTTCCTGAGTAGCTGGGACTACAGGTGTGCCACCATGCCCAGCTAATTTTTGTATTTTGGTAGAGACAGGGTTTCACCATGTTGGCCAGATGGTCTCGATCTCCTGACTTTGTGATCTGCTGCGTGCCTTGGCCTCCCAAAGTGATTACAGGTGTGAGCCGCCATGCCCAGCCCATTTTTTTTTTTTTTTTCCAGACAGAGCATTACTCTATCACCCAAGCTAAAGTGCAATAGCGCGATCTAAGTGGGCCAGGCAACACCCTTCACGCACCCCATTCCCCTTCTCAAAAAATGAACACCAGAAGGGCTGGCACGAGGGTTCCAGAGATTTTTCTTCAAGGAACCGCTGAGGAAGGAGCCCTCAAAGCCTATACCCAGGTGAGAGAAGGAACTGTCAATTTTGGAGAGAGAAATAAGGGAAGGCGAACAGGAGAACAAAGTCCCCAACCCCAAACACAACAGGCAGGTCACTTACTCTTGAAAGACCATGTTAAAAGCCCCCTTTTGTAGCAGGGTGTAGGGGAAAGAAACGTGCTTGCTTTACTGCCCAGAGCCTGGGTTGGAGCTAGCCTCTCACTAGCTATGCCATCTTGAGAGTCTCTTCCCTTCCCTACGCCCCAGTTTCCTCATCTGTACTTTCAATGGGGATTAAAAAGTGCTTGCTTCGCCGGGCGCGGTGGCTCAAGCCTGTAATCCCAGCACTTTGGGAGGCCGAGGTGGGTGGATCACGAGGTCAAGAGATCGAGACCATCCTGGTCAACATGGTGAAACCCCGTCTCTACTAAAAATACAAAACATTAGCTGGGCATGGTGGTGCGTGCCTGTAATTCCAGCTCCTCAGGAGGCTGAGGCAGGAGAATTGCCTGAACCCAGGAGGCGGAGGTTGCGGTGAGCCGAGATCGTGCCATTGCACTCCAGCCTGGGTAACAAGAGCGAAACTCCGTCTCAAAAAAAAAAAAAAAAAAAAAGTGCTTGCTTCATCCAGCTGTTGTGAGGACAAATGGGGTGGAAGTGTCCTCCGGTGCCATCCAGTGTTTAACAGAGGGGAACGAAGAACCCACTTGGGGAGGGGCCGGGGCACCCGACAGCCCCGCCCAGAGCAGGACTCACGCGTTGCAGTAGGGCTTCTTCTCGTAGCCCTTGTAGTTCTTCATGTTCAGTGTCATCTTGCAGGTCTCGCAATGGAAGCATGCTTTATGCCAGAACTGGGGATGGAGACAGAATGAGGACACGTCAGATACCAGGACTTCGGAAAGTGAGGCTCGGGCCCTAGGAAGGGGCACTCAGGAGCTCCTGGGACTGTCCTGGGCCCATGGCTGTGGGGAGAACATGGAATCACCACAGGTGAGCAGGGAGCATCTCAGGTCACAGGCTTGGGCACTCCCCTCCCCCATCTCCTTCCTCATCCTCCATCAATGGCCCATTTGAGCCCAGGAGGAAGAGAAGGGCAGGTGGGTGGCAGCCCCCAGGTCACTCCACCCTCCCCAGGGAGTCCCTCCTGCCGACAGCTGGAGAGGCTTCATTGCTTATGCAAAGCTGCGCTGGGTTGCTAGGGAGCAGCGGCTGAACATGAAGGAGAGGCTCCTCTGGCCTCACCAAGGCCCAGCCCCCCACGCACCCAGGCCCAGAACCCAAGCGCTCCCAGCTCCTGTCCCCGGGCCCAGCATACCCACCAGTCCCACGTGAGCCCCAGGTACTGCTGCAGCTCTGATACCTCCCACTTCCTGTGGGACTCCCGGCCAGGAGTAGGCTGGGTGTCCCAGGCTCTGCCAACACACCACATCCTCTCCCACCCCGTGGGGGGGCAGGAGAGTACCCAGAGCGGGTCTGCCACTGAGGCCCTAATGAGCTCTACTTCAAAGCTCTACCCCTACTAACATGTATGACCTTGGGTGGGGCCCTGCACTTCTGGGGAGCCCACGTCCTGGCCTGTGGAATGGATGTAATAACAGCTGGCCCTCCTGGGATTTCCCAGGACTCAGGAGGAATCACCTCAAAGCCCTCCGCAAAGCACTTGGCACCTCTGAACACTCAGATGTTAGGTGCTGGGCACAGCAGGTGTGACCCACAGTGACGGCGTCGGGGCTCGCCAGGGAGGCTGTGTGTGATGGGAGCAGAGGGGCTTCACTGTGCCCAGCCACAGCCCCAATCCTTTCATGTGGGTGAGAATGTGGGACACAGGGCCCATCCAGGGTGGCCATGGAGGGGAGAGGGTAGACACTGATGACAGAAAGAGAACTGATCTAGGTCGGGCCTGGTGGCCCAAGCCTGTATCCCAGCACTTTGAGAGGCTGAGGTGGACGGGTCACCTGAGGTCAGGAGTTCGAGACCAGCCTAGCCAACATGGTGAAACCCTGTCTGTACTAAAAAAAAAAAAAAAAAAAATACAAAAGTTAGCTGGCGGTGGTGGCACATGCCTGTAGTCCCAGCTACTCAGGAGGCTGAGGCAGGAGAATCACCTGAACCCAGGAGGCAGAGGTTGCAGGGATTTCGCCACCACACTCCAGCCTGGGTGACAGAGCAAGACCCTGTCTCAAAGATAGCAAACAGAACCGATCTAACGGGCTCTACGTGGCAGCCTAGAGGGGTCTCGTGGAACCACTGAGAAGTACTGATGCTTGGGCAAAGCCATGCCAACACCATCTGCATTCACCTCCACAGCCCAGGATGATGCCCTGAATCAGCACCGATCAGGGGCCCACTGCCAGGACCCCAGAACAATCCAGACCGCCTGAGTGACCTGGCTGGCCTGTCCCTGCCCCATTTCCTAGCAGTCAAGGGAGACAGTCCCCACTCGGAAAGGAGGTGGCCAGAAGGCAGGCCCAGGGAAAGTCTCCGGCCCAGCCTCAGAGCTGGTTCTTGGCCACCTGTCAAGGAATTCCCCCAAGGCAATGCTTTTCAAAATGTGGTCTCCAAACCCCAGAGAGGTGCTTCTGGGAGGAGAAGACAGCAGAAAGGCTGCTGAGATTCTGGGATTCAATCTCCCCCACCATGGCCCACTTCAACCAGAGACCCCAGGTAACTTCAGGGAGAAATCGCCTTCTAAGGAAAAACCTAATGGTGGAATATTAAACAGAGTGCTAAGAGAACCACTCTAGGGGAAGAAGGCCAGCTGGAAGTCTGGAAGCAAAGAAGTAGCGGGTCTAAGCTTGGCCCCCTCCCCAACCTGGGCCTATCCCAACGCCCCAGCCCCTCCAACCCCCATGCAGCAACTTCCACACTCCTCCTGGTGTGAGTAACCCCAACACACACAACCCACTGGGGAACTAAGTCAGGGTGGTCCCTGCCCCCACAGGCCCCTGGAGTGACAGCCCCACTCCCTCCCCCAGTGACTGGGAGGCATTGGCAGGGTGCCCCAGCCTGTCACCACCCAGTCTGCTGGCCTTTGCCTGCTCAGCTGCACATGCCCCTGCCCAGGCCCCCGCCTCCCGCCACCCCACAGGGGCCTGCCAGGAAAAACATTCTCCAGAATCCAGACCATGACCCACTTTCTCACACACACACACACACACACACACACACGAGTGAAGGGCTACACACTGTCCTAGGACTGGGGACCTCCAAGGCTGCCTCCTGACTGATGTTGGGGAGACAGGGAGAGAGAGCCCTGCTCCAGATGGCCAGGCCTCCACCTGGAGCCAAGACCCTGGGAGAAGGGCAGGGTGCACCAAGCAGGCGGGGTGGGGGCACAGGCCACGCTGGACGCGGGGGTTCCATAAGACCCCTCCAGGCTGCCACGCGGAGGAAGTGGAGCCCCTCCAAGAGGGGATGGCGCCTATTTCCATCGGCAGCTCCTTCCCACCTCCCTCACACATCCCACGATCGCAGCCAGACATGTGAGGCAGAGGAGGGTGGTCGCCTGTCCCCCTGCAGGGGGCTCCGAGCAGAAACATGGAAACCAGTTACTCTGAAGCACATGTGTCAACTGGAGCTGCAGCCACTGTCTCCAGGGGTCCGGAGAGGAGGCCGCTCCACCCCTATCGCCCGGCACCTGTAGCAGCTTCAGGCAACTCCCCTCCCCTCTCGGAGGAAGGCCTCAAGGTTCAAGAAAACCCAACAGCTCCTGCCACTGTGTCCTTTCGGGGCTAAGAAAATTGTGGGGAGGAGAGGCAGAAAATGGCCAGTCCTTCCACAACTGCTGTGAGCCAAGCCTGGGCTGGGCACCAGGACCCCAAGAGGAAAGAAGCCCTTATGTCAGTAGGGTCTGGGGAAGGACATTGTCAGGGAAATACATCCAGAGGATCCCACAGTGACCCGTCTGCCTCTGCTCTGCCCCATGGGCTCTATCCGGGAGCAAGAGCTCCCCTCTTTTAAAGGCCCCAGGCAAGATGATTTCAGAGAAGCATTCCTGGGACTCAGGACTCCGGAGGGAGGAACGTGCACCTTGAGGCATGCACCTCTGCTCCTTCCTGCTGCCTGCCAAGTCCATGGTTCCCCTGTTCACAGAACCAGACAGCCCCCAGCCCCTACCTCTGCTGCCCGTCAGAGGCCTCCCAGCCTGGATCCACGGCTCCAAAGCAGAGTCACCCTTGACCTCCCCTTGCCTACCTGCAACCCACTCTACAGAAAGGTAAACAGGCTGGTGGGGGCAGAAGCTTGCTCGGATCCCCCTCACTTGGAGGGGGACAGGCTGTCCCTCCACGGCTCTGGGTTGGGGGGAAGGGGCAAGCTTCGTGTCACTGTGCCTGCAGCCTGGCACGTTGGCCTCTGAACCCAAGCTACCTGGGGTGGCCATGACTCAGAGTTGGAGTATGAGACCGTCTCCTCCCTTTCTGTTGCCCAGAGTTACAATTTCTCCCTCCTGCAGGGGCAATGCCAGCCTCACCGTGGCTGGGTCACCAGCCTAGCTCAGTCAGCCACCTCAGCCACTGGCTTAAAGACACAGATCTTTGCTGCACCTCCACAAATTCCAAGGGGGACAGGTTTATTGCCAGTGGCCCCACACCCCCATACAAGACCCCAGGCCCAGAGCAGCCCTCCAGATAGGGTCAGGAAGGAATGGGACCTACTTTTGGCACAAATTAGATATCAATAAAATAAATATGTGTAAATACAAGTACTTTTTGCAAACACACTGGCAGAAGAGCGGAGCAGAACTGTGGATGTGAATTTCAGCTCTAAGAGAGGGAGATGAGCCACACTGCCTACCTGAGCCTTCGTTTGTGGGGTGCATCGCTTACAGGAGTGAACACCTACTTTGTGAGGCTGCTGTGAAGACTGAGCCCAGCATAGTGCAGTAAGTAGGAGCTATGATGAATGGATGGTCACAGGATGATGGTGGGGTACTCTAAGGTCAGCTAAACGGGGCACCACAGCTGTGAGGACTTCACTCCCCTCAAGTGGGGAGGAAGCGCCCAGACAAGCAGAGGCACAGAGCCCGCCCTAACGTGGGATTCCAGGGGAACTGGCAGCAGACCAATCCTCTACCCCTCCACCTGTTTTCAGAAACCTGGGGAAGCAAGCCAGGAAAGAGGGACGTGGCAAGATTCTTGACAACACAGCGCCCGAGATACAAAGCAGGTGCACAAAGTAGGTGTTCAATAAATATTTGTTGAATGAGCAAATGAGGTCACCCTGTTTCTCCCCCAGCTCTAATCCCAGAAGTCCTCTGGGGAAGCAAATCTCGACCTCCTTCCTCAAACACTGTCATCAGCAATACATATTTATCCAGTTTGCAAAGCACACTGGGTACTGCAGGTTGGGGGCAGGGTGGCCTTCAGAGGTGACAAGGTTTTTACCCACCTATGCCTTTGGGAGATAAGGCTCAGAGAGGAGAAAAAGCTGAAACCAAGGACACAGCCTGTGTTTTGGGCCACGTGATGGGCTAAGTGCCTTACGGGATTGTAGAGAAAAGGGTGAATCTCATTTGACTGTCTTGCTGTAAATGAGAGGCCTTTGGAAGCTGGTTAGCAACTATGGGACTGAAGATTCCCACTCCTTCCTGTTCTCAGCTCAGCAGCCTCCCGGCCTGTCTCCCCATTCCTGGTGCCTATTCCTTTTTTTTTTTTTTTTTTTTTTGAGATGGAGTTGTGCTCTCGTTGCCCAGGTTGTAGCGCGATGGCCTGATCCGGCTCACTGCAACCTCTGCCTCCCAGGTTCAAGCAATTCTCCTGCCTCAGCCTCCCGAATAGCTTGGATTACAGGTGTGCGCCACCATGCCTGACTAATTTTGTATTTTCAGTAGAGAAAGGGTTTCTCCATGTTGGCCAGGCTGGTCTTGAACTCTCAACCTCAGGTGATCAGCCCACCTCAGCCTCCCAAAAGTGCTGGGATTGTAGGTGTGAGCTACCTCGCCCAGCTTTTTTTTTTTTTTCTTTCTTTTTTTTTTAGGGGGGGGGGACGGAGTTTTACTCTTGTTGCTCAGGCTGTGTTCAATGGCACGATCCATCTCAGCTCACTGCAACCTCCACCTCCCAGATTCAAGCAATTCTCCTGCCTAAGCCACCCGAGTAGCTGGGATTACAGGGATGTGCCATCACACCCGGCTAATTTTGTATTTTTGGTAGAGATAGGGTTTCACCACGTTGGTCAGGCTGGTCTCCTGACCTCCATGATCTGTCCACCTCAGACTCCCAAAGTGCTGGAATTACAGGTGTGAGCCACCTCGCCTGGCCTCCTGTTGCCTAGTCTTACTGCCTGGAGCGGTGGGGAGGAAAAGGTCTGATACCTGGATATTTCAGGCCTCCTGCTCAGTACAGGGGGCAAGGTCTCTCCAGGGCCACTTCCTGTACCGAGAGTTCTAAAAAGAGGGAGGAATCGCCAACTGCCACTTCCCTGGGCAACCCCCACTTGAACATCCTCTTCCAGCTAGGGTTAGAGAACGGGGGAGGGCATCTTGCAGTATCCCTGCCTGCCCCCCTCCCCTCTGATACACAGCACTTAAGGTCTTTACAAGGGGAGTGGCGTGGAGCTGAACAGAGCATCCCAGAAAGGTAGGGAGGGCATAGTCTATCAACACCCTCTTTAGCACTCAGGCACATTAGTGCCCTGCCCCACCTTGAAGGAAATGACATCATCATACCCATCTGACAGACGACGAACACTGAGGCCTAGAGCCATTCATAAAACTGGTGGGAGCAGAGCTGGAACAAGGACCCAGTCTCCCAACTCTCGGGGTGGCAATCCTGCCTTCATGTATTGCTTTTTCCTTATACAGGCGAAGTGCCCACTGCCTCTTCCCGATTCATCACTGGAAAAGAAGGAGACCACAGGGAACTCAAGATGCGGAGGCCGAAATCTCTGCCACCCGGGAAGGGCCAAGTCCCAGTGGGCAAGGACAGGTAGGTTCTCAAGGGGAGACAGCATCTGATAGCTCTAAGCCCAAGTCCTGCGCAGCACCGGCTGGCATGGTCATGGGCAGATCAGCACCTTTCCTTGTGCCCACAATATGGCCCCTTCTCTCCTCCTGCCCAGTCAAGCCCAGGACCAGGGACAGTGACACAGCAGCGGCCCCATATGCCCACACACCCCAAGAGCAAGCTCAAATGTGTTTCAGAACCTCCAGCCCCACCTCCTCACCCTGACTCAGAGGCCAAAGGTCTGAGGAAGCGCACACCCCAAGGGGGAGGGGAGAGACAAAGTGTCCAATGAACTGTTCTTCCTGAACAAAACCCAGCTCCAGATCAGCAATGAACTTGGCCCCAAGGCTCTGCACCCCTTTTCCATCCAGTGACCCCATCCCTGCACCCCTTTTCCATCCAGTCCCCCCAGCCTTCCCAGTTCAGATGGAAAAGGCAGAATATCTGGACTTGGAGCCAGCTTTGGGTAGTGGATGAAAGGCACGGTGAGGAAGGGGACAAAATCACAGAGCCTCCCCCTCCTCTCCCCCGCCAGACTGGGGAGGGGATGCAGAGGGGCAAGTTTTTCCTTAGGAGCTTACGAGAAGACAGGATCCTACCCCAAACTGTACCGGAAACACCCAGTTCCACTCTCCCACCGGCCTCCAAAAGTCTAATGGCAACCAGATGAACAAGTCCAGCATGGGAGAGACAGGGCCCCCAGGGGACAGTGAATCTCCATAAGGCCACCTTCCCCTCCCCCCATACTTCCCCCTTCCCTCGGTTTCCCCAGAACTCAGCCAACCCCACCCTCCACGGGAGAAACCTGCTTTGAAAAGTTAGCTCTTTGTTCTACCACACGGTCTCCTGGCTCTGAGCACAATTTCAGGAGATCTCAGCGAAGCACCCCCCCATCCACCGTACTCCAGCACCCGACCCCGCCGGGCTCAGGCTGGGCGGCCCAGCACCGGGAGTTGGCTTTTAATTGGAAGTGGGGGTTGGGAAGCTATGGAGGAGGTCTGCGAGTCCTTTAACCACTGAATCACCTAGGGGGCTGCAGGTCGTTCCAAAGCGGGGGGTCTTGCGGGGGGCCCCGGGTCCTTACCCGAAACCCCCCGCCTCAGATGCAACGCTCGCAGGCTGATAGCCCCCGCCCCCCAGGCCGGGAAGCCAGGCCATCCCCCGGCGGAGCGGACGGTTTCGCAGGGCCCCCCAGCCTGTGCCCCGCCCCCCGGCCCCCTCCACCAGCGCCCGGCGCTTCCGCCTACTTGGCGCTCGGCGCGGAGCGGCGAGGGAGCGGCCGTCTCTTCTCACTCTCCAGGCCTTAGGGGGCGGGACTGCACCCCTAACCTAACCCCCACACAGCCCCGGGCCTGGCTTCCCTGCTCCTCTCCCGTCCTCCAAACCCTGGGGCACAGAGCCCACCCCTCTCCAGCAGCGGCTGCCCGCTACGCGTGGTCTCCCTGCCTCGCCCCAGATCTCCGGGTTTGCAGACTGGGATGTGTCCCCACACCCCATGACACCGCCAGCTCGTCCTCCCTCCATTCTCCTGGGATCGCGGGAATAAGGCGGCAAAGACGCGGCCCTTCCCTCCTCCCTGGATTGAGAGCATTGCCGGGGATTGCAAAAACGCGTCTCCCAGTCCCGGGCTCACCTTATCCAGACAGTTCACCTTCTCCGTGGGATACACGATCTTGCCGCACCGGGCGCAGTTGGGGTTCATGGCTCCGGGAAAGGCTGGGACGGGAACGCCCGAGCTCGCGCGTCCTCTTCCCCGAGGCGAGCTGGCGGGAGGCGGCCGCGGCTGCAACTACACAGGCGGGAGCGACGGCGGCTGGAGCTGGGGAACTGGCCTCCGCCTCCGCCCTCCTTCCCCTAATAAACACAGCGGGGAGGAGGGGCTGCACCGGGGCGGGCACGCGCCTCGGGCGCGGGCAAAGGCGCGCGCAGCGAGGCGCGCTCCCTGGGCGACGTGGGGCTGCGCGGGGGCGGGTTCCGGGGAGGTCCGCGGGGCTCGGGGTGCTGGCGCCCCAGGGCTCCCAGGCGGACTGCGCCCAGCACCCAGGGCCCTTTCCGAGCCTGAGACGGCGCAGAGCCGGGCAGGCTAGACATCTGGGGCGCCGGGGCTGCGGAAGGCTGGCTAACCCCTCAAGCCCGTCGAGGGTGGGGTTGGAGCCCTCCTAAGGCCCGAGCTGATTCACCACCTTCAGGGACTTTCCTCTCTACCCGTCGATACCTGGAGTGAATCTGGGGACCGAACGGGGACCCCCCTGCCCTGTCCCTCTTTGCCCCCTTCCGGCCCACACCCTTTTGTGGGTCGGAACTCGACCCTCCCTCTTGGACTCCGCTCTGCTGGGCCCGGGCTGTGCTTCGAGCCCCTGCAGTGCACCTTCCCGGGGTTCCCCGGATGCGGGCACTGTCTGCGTTCAGCTTGATCCCTTTTCTCCTGCATTCCTTTCTCCTAATGTTACTTCCGCACAGTGTAGCAGCTGCAGCAATGCTTAGCACTCAAAACAGTCGCCTCCAGGCGCAGCAGCGGTGCGGGGGTATAGCTCAGTGGTAGAGCATTTGACTGCAGATCAAGAGGTCCCTGGTTCAAATCCGGGTGCCCCCTCGGTGGCTTTTCCACCTATTCCTAATTCTTGATTCGTATTTTAACATTGAGTCCTAGACTAAAAGAAAAATGAAAAAAGTATCTTCCTCATTTTTCAAGCTTAGCAGAAAGCTTTCGGTTTTACTTTGTGCTCAGCGGGAGGAGGAGAGCGTGGATATAAAAGCTGCGCGACCCCATTACTCGCTCCAGGGGTGTAGGGATTTCTGTGGCCACGAACGCCAGCCTCAGATGGGTCAGACAGTTCCAGGCGCCGGGTTTGAGGGAGAGGATGTTTCCAGTCGGGGTAGGGGAGACAGGAGAACGCCTCAAGTTGGCTTTCCTTTTGGGGGTGGAGGGTAAGTCAAGTGAGGAAAACCCACTGACACAGCCCTTCTCCAACTTCAACTTTCTATGTTAATACTGACATGGACGTGCTGTGTTCATCCTTGACTATTAATGTACGAAAGTAAAGTTATATCCCAATGCAAACTGAGATAAACGAACACGGTGTTTCTCAAACTTGAGCGTGCATCACAATTACCTGCAGAGCTTATTAAAACATTCCTAGTTTCTGATTCTGTAAGGGGTCCCCGATAATTTGCATTTCTACCAAGTTCCCAGGCGCCGCTGGTGCTGCTGGTGTGGGGACCACATTTTAAGAACCACTAAAGTAAGAATAAAAGGCCATGGGTTTTCATAACCTAAAGATAGGGACAAGTATCTGCTGGCTGCGTGCCTAACAGTGTCACTGTAGGGCAGGAGGAAAATGGTAAGTGTGGCTGGAGACAAGGGCATCCCTTTCGACTAGATTTTGCCCAAAAAAATGCAAAGTAAAGGAGAGAGAAAGAGCCGTGCTGCCTGGGTCAAAGGGCAGCTGCGATATTTTAAACCGGAATGTGGTTGTGTCATCCCTCGGACCCCGGGAACCGCGCATTTTTTTCTCACGGCTCGCAGGACTGTGAGCTGCATCGCTAGGCTGGATAGAGAGACCACAGATCAGTAGAGCTACGGTTCCGTGCAAAAGCCAGGAGGAACCAGTTTTATCTCTTCTTTAGGCCTCGAACTTTCCATCTATATCTTATCAAGCCAAAGCCCTGCCTTTGAGCTAAGTAAAGAAGGAAGAGGGAAAACCCTCGCTGTTTAACTTCTACTTTTTGTCTTGTTCGTTTTCTGAAACGGGCGATCTGTCGGCTCACTGCAACCTCCGCCTACTGGGTCAAGCGATTCTCCTGCCTCAGCCTCCCTAGGAGCTGAGATTACATGCACCTGCCACTATGCCCGGCCAATTTTTTGTATTTTTAGTAGAGACAGGGTTTCACCATTTTAGCCAGGCTGGTCTCGAACTCCTGACCTTGTGATCCGCCCGCCTCGGCCCTAAGGGCTGGGATGACGGGCATGAGCCACCAAGCCTGGCCACCTTCTACCTTCTAGAGGTGCCCTGTCCTGTTCGAGTTCGCGAGTATGTGAAGACCTCTGAATTTGGATTCCTTCTCCTAGTCTTCATAGTCAAGTAGGAACTAGCCCCGCACACGACGCGACATTTTTTTTTTTTTTTTTGAGACGGAATTTCGCTCGTTACCCAGGCTGGAGTGCAATGGCGCGATCTCGGCTCACCGCAACCTCCGCCTCCTGGGCTCAGGCAATTCTCCTGCCTCAGCCTCCTAAGTAGCTGGGATTACAGGCACGCACCACCACGCCCAGCTAGTTTTTTGTATTTTTAGTAGAGACGGGGTTTCACCATGTTGACCAGGATGGTCTCGATCTTTCGACCTCGTGATCCACCCGCCTCGGCCTCCCAAAGTGCTGGGATTACAGGCTTGAGCCACCGTGCCCGGCACGACGCGACATTTTTTAACCCCAAAACAAATTATAATTAACATTAAACCAGTGGGCCTCAGAGATGGGAATCGATGCGCGCCTTTGTTCTACAACTGGGAATTCAGGAGGCTTCTCGACACTTGGGGTATGCGGAGTCGGATCCACTTCAAAGCAGCCTCTGGTTGCTGCTCTCTCCCTCTGTGTAGGGGAATCCTTTGAAGGTGAAAATTAGGTAGGTGGAAGAGACAAAGGACACCTCCCCTGGGTTTTGTATTCAGTATTGCTAACTCGGGTAATTCCTGGATGGCTGTGAAAAAGACATAAGGAAAACCGAGGGGGCACCCGGATTTGAACCGGGGACCTCTTGATCTGCAGTCAAATGCTCTACCACTGAGCTATACCCCCTCTGCTGGTGGTTGTACAGCAAATTCCATTTACATCCATCAATCCCAAAATTTTCAAACTCGTTCAAAATCAGTGTCTTTTTGTTACATGATACTGAAATTAGCAATGAAGAAGGAGAAATTAAAAGCCTAGGCAATGATGTGGCGGCAGTTTGAAAGCATGTGAATTTAGATGACAATCTGCTTTTTCTAGGTTCAGGGTTTTTGTTTGTTTGTTTGTTTGTTTCATTTTATGTAGATAGCCCCGCATGGGGGGTGAAGGAGGCCGTCTCCCTATGTTGCCCAGACTGCTCTGCTCTGGAACTCCTGGACTCAAGTAATGTTCCCTCATTGGCCTCCCAATGCTAGGCTCCATTCTTTTTTTTTTTTTTTTTTTTCCCAATAAATACAGTGCATTTTTTTTTTTAAATAAATACAGTGCAGCTAGGCTCAATTCTTTATCCACAATCCCACTCATCTCTGCCCACTAACAAGTTAGCAACCTCCTGCAAAAGTGAATAGAGGGCCGACGGGGTGGCTCAGGCCTGTAATCCCAGCACTTTGGGAGGCCCAGGCGGGCTGATCACCCGACCTCAGGAGTTTGAGACCAGCCTAGGCAACATGGTGAAACCATTCTCTACTAAAAAATACAAAGATTCACCAGGCATGGTGGTGGGCACCTGTAATCACAGCTACTCAAGAGGATGAAGCAGAAGAATTGCTTGAACCCAGGAGACGGAGGTTCCAGTGAGCCAACAGGGTGCCACTGCACTCCAGCCTGAGCGACAAAGTGAGACTCCCTCTCAAGAAAAGAAAAAAGAGGCCGGGTGCAGTGGTTCATCACTGTAATCCTAGCACTTTGGGAGGCTGAGACGGGCAGATCACCTGAGGTCTGGAGTTCAAGACCAGCCCAACCAACATGAGGAAACCCCATCTCTAAAAAAAAAAAAAAAAAGAAAGAAAGAAAAAAGATAAAGTCCTAGGATCAAGGTAAAAAAGGAAGAAAGAAAGGAAAAAGGAAGGAAAGAAAGAAAGAAAATAAAAAGGCTGGGCAAGGTGGCTCAAGCCTGTAATTCTAGCACTTTGGGAGGCCAAGGGGGGTGAATCACTTGAGGTCAAGAGTTCGAAACTTGGCCATTGGCCATCATGGTGAAACCCCAACTCTACTAAAAATACAAAAAAACTGTCTCAAAAAAAAAAAAAAAAAAAAAGAGAAGCTTTTCCCTTGGTCTCTCCAAAAATATGAACACCAGCTTAAAACACACCTCCACCAGTGGGGCATGGTGGCTCATGCCTGTAATCCTAGGGTGGGCAGATCACTTGAGGTCAGGAGTTCGAAACCAGCTTGGCCATCATGGGGAAACCCCGTCTCTACTAAATAATACAAAAGGCGTGGTGGTGCGCACCTGAATCCCAGCTACTTGGGAGGCTGAGGCAGGAGAATTGCTTGAACCCAGGAGACAGAGGCTGCGGTGAGCCGAGATCGTGCCATTGCACTACAGCCTGGGTAACAAGAGCGAAACTCCATCTCAAAAAAAAAAAAAAAAAAAAGAAATCCCATCTCTACTAAAAATACAAAAAATTAGCCGGGCATGGTATGGGTGCCTGTAATCCTAGCTACTATGCATTCTGAGGCAGGAGAATCACTTGAACCCAGGAGGTACTGGTTGCAGTGAGCTGAGGTTGCACCATTGCACTCCTGCCTGGGCAACAAGAGTGAAACTCTGTTTAAAATTATTATTATTATTATTATTATTTTATAAAGACGGGGTTTCACCATGTTGGTCAGGCTGGTCTTGAACTCCCGACCTCAGGTGATTTGCCCACCTTGGCCTCCAAAGTGCTTGGATTGCAGGCATGAGCCACCACGCCCCACCAAATCTGTTTAAAATTAAAAAGAAAGCACACACCTCCACCAAGAGGCCTTCCTGGCTATATACCCTAGTGATCCCCCTCTATGTAGAGCAAGTTCTCTCTAGGTAAATGACATAGGGTACTGTACTTTTTTTGTTTTTAGATGGAGTCTCGCTCTGTAGCTAGGCTGGAGTGCAATGGCGTGATCTCGGCCTACTGCAACCTCCGCCTCCTGGGTTCCAGCAATTCTCCTGCCTCAGCCTCCTGAGTAGCTGGGATTACAGGCATGCACCACCACACTGGATAATTTTGGGTTTTTTTTTTTTTTTTTTCTTTTTTTGAGACAGAGTTTCACTCTTGTTACCCAGGCTGGAGGGCAATGGCACGATCTCGGCTCACCGCAA